GACTGCCAAGCGAGTATCGGTCGTCCGTGCCAGCCGAACGTACTTACCAAAAGTGGCACGTTTGTCAGTAACTCGAATGATGCGGTGACCAAGAAGATCAGCAACTTGAAGAGCCGTATCGGTAGCACCAAGGTGGTCTTCGCAGCTAGGTTCTCGACAGCCACCAAAAACTTCGGCGTCGGAGCTCTTAAAAGCGACAGTGTTGTACAAGTGAGTGTCAAGATGAGTGCGGCAGCTACTGTAAGCGCCCCGAACAATGACAACACCGCTCAAAGAAGTGTCAAGGAACCGACCAGGGTGAAATAGCGGTAAGTGTTTAGCCCCTGAGGAAACGCTTGATGCCATTGAAGAACCAGTTTCTGTTGTTGCTGAGTGTAGTGGTGGGAACGAGACAAATAGAGAATCTGTGTCAGAATATGAAGTGCTCGATATTACCATTTATTGTTGCTACCGCGAGCAGCGATGCCATGAGTATATGAGTAGGATTAATTATTAACGGGATGGGACTGAGCATTACAAGGGTAAAAACTATGGATCTTGAGCTTAGGGAGCTCGAGGTTAACAAATAATTTTTAAAATAGACGGCGTCATTCAAAATGATACTTACGACGAATCGCGATTTAAGCACTCTAACCGAAAGCGGGGCGTCTCCTCCATCGCTTAAGCACTTTAAAGCTAAGGAAGGCTTAAAACTGAAGAAGTTGTGGTCGCCCAAAAAAACTATCTTGATTCGCGGGTCCAAATGACGATGCATATAGGAGTGTTGTGAGCTCAATATTCTTTTAATTTCTGAGATTCAAGTGTTATTTTAAAGCCTTTGTTAAAAGCAATTGAAATAGGGTAGTTTTACAGTTTTTTCGATGGAAGTTTACACCAAATGTCGCAGCTCCGACTAAGTACGAAATTTAATTGGTCAACCTTAGCTCTAAAACGCTGGTAAGTATCCTTTTTGCTTGAAGCTCAGCAAAATTAATTAAAAAAGCTCTCTAAGGGCCGTTCTTAGCCGATTTCTTGCAAGTGGATGAGAGTTAAGGTGGATGGTACCTTTTGTGCTTGATTCGGCTAAGAACAAACTTAAAACTAGTGGATGGCCTTAGTGGCTAAGGTTGAAGGAGGGGTGGTTGACATCTAATATTAGCCTATAACTGCGATGTATCACTTTGATCGCTTTGCATTTGTTCTCTTCCACTATCGCAACTAAATGCGCACACCCAGCGAGATCATAGCGATCACTCGTCGTCTTCGCGATCGAGCCAACGTCCAAACGATACTGCTGCTGTTCGTTCTATTGCAAGCACGAACACGGAACTCGCGCTACTCGCGTCATCGCATCGATGTTGATCTCGAAATTGAGATGCTGTTGAATAAAAACATGTTCGAGCGAACCTTTCGAATGACTGCCGACAGTTTTTCGTACCTGTTGGGGATCTTAACACCAAATATTGAGGTTAATAGACAGCAATCTCCCAACTCGAGCGGGGAAGAACCAATATCGCCTCCACTTATGCTCATGACTACACTGCGTTATTTAGCTGGTGGTTCGTATCTTGATATTCGCCGTACTGTGGGAATTAGTGGATCTTCTTACTACCGCGTCATTAACGAGACAATATTCGCGATTCTCGGTCTACGAGAATTGAAAATCGTATTTCCTGATTCTGAATCGGACAGAGAGGTTGTGATGAACGACTTTAAGGCTATCAGCTCCAGTGGAATAATAAGCGGTTGTGTCGGCTGCGTAGACGGATGGCTATGTGTTATTAAGGCGCCTTCAGCTGAAGACGCTGGAGACGTAGGAACTGGACGCTATTATAGTGGACACTATGCATGTCCTGGTATCAATGTGCAGGCCGTGTGCGATGCGCATTGTCGCTTCATATCTGTGGATGCCAGCTATCCAGGAAGTACAAATGATGCACGTGCTTTTCGTGGGACTGGTGTGGCGAGAAGTCTCAGCTCATTTCCTACAGGAATGTATATCATCGGCGACAATGCGTATCCTGTGAGTGAGCATTTGATCACGCCATTTACACGCAGCCAAATTGTTGACGAGTACCACGACTCATTCAATTTCCATGCTAGTCAAATACGAATCAGAATTGAAATGGCTTTTGGTCTTTTGACTACAAAATGACGGGTATTTCAATCTCCTATCTCACGGAACCTTTTAAATGCTACCACTACAATTTACACAGCTATGGTGCTGCATAACTACGTGATTAACAGACGTATAATATCTGATGCCGACTATTGTTTATTTGACGAGTCGATTCAACCCATTTGCGTCTCGCAAGGAGTGCAAAGATTAAATGACGTTGCCAATCTCATGGGTTACATGTCAAGTGATCTTGTTGTTGAAGAGGGTAACAGCTACATGAGAGACTATATTGTTCAGCACCTTCGCGCTAATAACACTGTTCGGCCTCAGTACAACATTTCACGCAATCGGAGTGTAAACAACTAAATAGAAATACTGATCTTGACACACTTTATTTGTTATTTTCTTATAAGAGCCTTCTTCTTTGCCCGAACGTGTTCAATGTCTTCGTTTACCTCCATAAGGTCGTCATGAGTAAAAATTCCCTCTGAAGCACGAAGAATCCGCTCTCTAAGCTCCATGAGCGAATACAAAGAGCTCATCAGCTGTGCCAGGCGACAGTCTAGCTCAAGCGCCTGAGCCGAGGCGTTATTGGCTTGCATTGTCGTAAGAATATTGCTCAAATTGATCTCTTTCACTTTTGACTTCCCTTTCTTCGAGCGAGTACGTTGTTTTTTTGATTGACGAGATCCTCCAACCTCGTCGTCGTCGCTGTCACTACCTCCCTCCATGGTATGTAAACGAGCACGTTTTGGCAGTTTCCTTCTACGGACTCCAACCTACCAGGTTTCTCACGCATCCACTCATACATGTACAGGACGTCGATTTTTCCGGAGCAGAAAGAAAAAAAATCATTGTCGTGCACGCCTGAAATTTGAGAGTTCACCACAGCAGTAGCATAACGACCAGTAATATCCTTCCACATATCTCGTAATTTTATAGCTTCGTGAGGAACGGTGAACTCAGGCTTGCATTTTTCGAATACTGCCAGATGTGAAACAAGCTTGCTGAATTCTGGACGCGAACTCAAGTACGCTGAGTGAAAACGTCCAAAATGTTTTTTTTCTTGAGTCATGTTTGTCTCAAACTCGGCCCTGGTTGCTCTAGCGTCAATTTCATGAAGCCGGTGTGCAAATAAGTCCGAAGCATGACATATAAAAGCCGTAGCATGCAGTGGCGAGTACGACGTTTGTTACCCACTACACCGCGTTTAGCCGGACCTTCCTCCACACCTAGACGTTGCATCTCGCTGAACGCGCGCTTCTGTTGCATTAATAACGCAACATATCCTGTCTTGTGGTCGTTGGCGTCCGGGCCCTTTTTTCACGATACGTAGCTGCCGAATATAACACTCTGTGCGAAGTTGTTTAGCTCCAAATGCCATCAGACACGATTCGGCTTCCTCTAGATTCATGGTGCCGTTGTACATGACATCACCAATAGTCGATGCAGTCGCGGGAATGCCGCCGTCAGATGTAGCGGTAGTTGGAGGTGCCGTAGGTGAAGGCAAACGAGGAGACATAACGGAGGAGGAGGACATGGTGATAGATTGACAGGGGACCGTTGGTTGCTGATGTGGACTGAGTGCTTCAGGAGACTTGATGGAATGAGCTGTATAAACTCCAGCCAAAGGTGTCGTTCTATCCCGTCAGGTATGTCTCTCCTCCCGTCCACCTTCCGTCCACGGCCACCAACCCTAATTTCACACAGTGGACGTGGATCAAACGGACCATACGGCGTCCACTGCCATATGGATCCAAGTGAAATGGTTGGGCCATGGAAGCATAATCCACCGTTATTTTTTGGCTAAGAACGGCCCTAACACCAACTTAGACTGTAAGTAAAATAAACTCCGCTTTCACTTATCGAATCGAACCTTTTTTTATTTGCTAAACCTTATTTTCATTGAAAGTAACTTAAAAGAAACGCGCTTGCTGAAACTGCTTTTATTAAAAGAGGACTTTATTTGCTGGAATAAGTCAGGCTTCGAATAAGAATTTCTTCGTCCAGGGAATATCGATCGGTAATCTATCCGTCATTTATTCAGATTTTCTCTAGATACTTGTTATTTCAAGCCTTGCGTTATTCTACAAACTTTAATGACACAAATTGGCCTTTGTCTTACACAAACTGAAATTTCGTTTTTTTATTTTATCCTCCCACAGAAAACGTGAGTCGTTACCAGACAGGGAGCGGAATTTGTATCACAATGATCCTGTTCGTCCTGATGCTGAGACTGTACTCGTGGTAAAATAAGGTTTCTTCTGGAACTGTACCATTTTATTGTTTGTTTGCTAGCGCAACTACATACTAAAAATTAACTATTCTAACAACCGTCCTTGTCACAACTATCTCGTTACGAGTTGAAACGAGAGTACTGAAACAATTGGTCATGCGTTTACTCTCGTACGATCTAATGTATTCTACATGAAGAAGAGACCAAGTAAAAGAATTCAATGTTTTCAGATACTATACTGATCTTCCATTACGGCACAAAATAATTAGAAATTATCACTTGTTTTTCAAGAAATAATTGACATTCTTAAAAAAAATAGAAAATGGCCCACAGTTTTTTTTTTTCGATCACAAAGTCGTCGATGAGTAAGCTTTTTTTTCTTTGTTTAGAAAATACAACGCAGCTGACGAAGTGCCGACGATGACGGGCACAGCTTATGTCAGGCCCTGACCTAGATTGTGCCCGTCATCGTCGTCGTCGGTTGCGTTGCATCAATATGCATTTTTAAAGACATGCGCATTTTCTTGAGCAATCGGTGAGAGTCTCACGTGACGGTCACGTAAACGGTGTAAGTGGTACTGCACCAATAGTTCAGTAGTACTTACGCAGGATTCTAGCGTAAAACATTTGGCGAGTCGCCCCACATTTAAATCCAAGCGCACATAATAACTTTGAATGGCCCAATTTATTATAGATATTTTAGACGGCATGCTTGCCTAGGTTCAAGAGTCCAAGTGCTGTATTGCGTAAGAACAGCATCAGGTTCTTTTCATTAGTGTTTGCTTCTACGTCGGCGGGCTGCGAGCTGCCTTGAGCAGTCGTTGCGTCTTGGTCACGGCCAGGACTGCACCCACACCGGCACGAAATTTACTGCGTGCAGTCAGGCGCCTAGCCTCTTTCAAGTTCTTGCCCACTGACAGCACTGGAGCATCGTCATCCTCTTCCTTAATGTCATTAAACCACGGGTGATCCAGCACTTCCTGAGCCGTCAAACGTTTCGACGGCTGGACCACGAGCATCTTGCAAATCAGGTCCTTGGCCTGCTGCGAGACACCGTCGAAATACGGCGCCACAAACTCGAAGTCGCCGTTGAGAATCTGCCCAAAACACACATTCCCGTCAGTCTTTTTACTGTATCAGGTCGTTGCAAATTGCATCAGAGGACCCACTTTTCGCATCTCCTCAACTTGATTCTCATCGTAGAACGGAGGGAAACCACACAACAGAATGTAGGCGATGACCCCGAGACTCCAGATGTCGCACTTGCTGTCGTACGGCAACTTGCGGACGATCGCCGGTGCGTAGTAACCTGGTGTACCGCACATCGTAGACATGTTTGTCTCCTCTGTGACGAGTTTGGCAAACCCGAAATCGGCAATTTTGATCACGGCGCTGTCAGTCTCATCCGCGTACAGCAGGTTTTCAGGTTTCAGGTCGCGGTGGGTCACACCTTTGGCGTGGCAGTATCGCAGCACTTTTGCCACGACTTTCATGACTTTTTTTGCTTCTCCTTCGGTGTAGTATTCCTTGGCGATGATGCGATCGAAGAGCTCTCCGCCTTCGGCGTACTCCATCACCAAGAAGCACATGGGGCCGTCGCCGTCAAACACGTCGCACAACTTGATAATGTTTGGATGCTTCAGCTGGTAAAAAGGCAAAATTAAAATTTAGTACTGTTAAAAAATCTTCGGCAACTTAAAACCACGCGCGTACGTCTTTGAGGATCTCGATCTCCTGCTCCAAGTTGCTGCGGTCCTTTGGATTCAGTGCCGCCTTGTTGATACACTTGACAGCAAACCGCTCCCCTGTCTTCCGGTCGGTGCACTCCTTCACAACGGAAAAGTTGCCTGTTGATGTGGCAAGAACGCAGTTAAGCTTTAAAGATATTGGACATGTGGCAAAATGTGCCACAACACCTTCGCCAATGACACGGCCAATGCGGTACTTTTCATTGAAACCGGCAGGGACTTGGTCGGTCATGTCGTCTGCGCGAAATTTACACTGAGTGGTCCTAGACGTGCCGTTAACTAGGCTACCAAGAGTGCGAGGACCGACGAGTGCGTCTACGAGACAATCGCCTTGGGAGGGCCTAAAAATATCATGAAAATGCACAAAACAATCCTGTCAAAACCGATTACTCGAAAAGTTGGCAGAGTGTAGCCATATTTTGATAGCGAATGACAATGTCAACTTCAACAAATATGTGCAGGCGCTGCCCTTGGCGACTCTCTTTTTACTTCCTGCTAATCGATGGCTTGGAACGTCAGCACCACTGGCTTGGAAACGTTGCGTAAGTGCATGGTCGATCGCTCGAAGCCCAGCTGACGGACGTCCTTGTCCCCGATCTTGATGAGGATATCGCCCACGGCCACACGCCGTAGACCAGCACACGTGCTCTTGCCGGTGCGTTTGGTAATGAGGACTACAGATCCCTGTTTCGACTGCGCTTCGCGCACAGTAAAGCCGAACGGCCCATCCGTCCACTGGATCTGGTAGTACGCGTTGGAATCGATCTCAAAGAACTCCTCTTCCTCCATGGGAGGAGCAGCCTGGGGCTGCTGATACGATTGCTGGAACGACGACTGTTGGTAGAGCTGCTGTTGCGGCGGTGATTGCTGGAACGATTGCTGTTGCTGCAATGGCGCCGAGTGATACGGCGAGTGTGACTGATATCCATTGTCTCCGTAGCTCTGGCCTGACGAGGTTTGACCAAACGTCAAGTCCTCAGCCGTTTGCACAGACTGTTGAGACTGGTTTTGGTACTTACTCGAGTGTTGGTGGCGCGACATGGTGAAGGAACTGTTGCTGCGTGCACTCCGGTATCCAAGCAGCCCAGGAGAATCGTGTTCGCTGGCTGCAGAGTTGCTACGCGCTGAAGAGTGGCTTTGTACTGGTGCAGCTGCGTTGCTGACAGAGCGCATGGGTGACGACGCTCGCTGAGGTGTGGCAAGACTCATTGCTGCCATTGGCGCAATGGGCAACGACGCACTCTCCGTTAGTTTCGGAGGTGATTTTGCCTTTGCTCTGTTCGCAGGAGGCCGACGGAATCGGATCACTGCAGGCTTAGGTACGTTCATAATGTACTGCATCGTCTCGTGGAAGCCGTACTCCTGGGCCGATCTGTTGTTGACGAGAATAATCTCGTCGTTCTCTTGCACTTGTGCAAGCTGCTTTGACGTTCCCTTGCATGTAAAGGACCGAACATAAGGCAACCCTTCCGCTGAGGTGCCTACCACTAGTCCGAGTGACCCGTAGTCCCACAAAAAGTCGTACTCTCCTTCTCCCAGCTCTGGCAACTCCATCTGCAGCTCCTCTGCCAGAGGCTTCCTGAACCGCAGCGTAATAGGCTTGGGCAACTCCTTGATAATGTTGATAATGGCCGAGATCGAGTGGTCGCACGTTGGTGTCTGGTTCACGTACACCAGCTCATCTCCGATGTTCACGTCTCTCTCGAGCGCTGGACTGTCCGCCTTGCCCGTGAATCTCTTAACCAGCGGCAATTTACTCTTCGGGTCGGTTGTCAACACGATTCCTAGCGGTCCAGACTCCCATAAGTACGTGTACTCGTTGGGGGCGAGGTCTGGTAAGTCTTTTGCGGCCGCACCGTAGGGCGATAGCTGCAACGTCAGTCGCACGGGCTTCTGTACGGAGCGCAGCAGCTTGGTGGCGTTGCCAGCGCCCAGATGGTAGACCTTCTCTTCTCCGATGGCAATCAGCATGTCACCTGGCACAACATCCTGCAGTCCGGCGGTGGCGCTGCTAGCCGTGCGGCGAGCGAGGCATAGGACAGTGCCTCGGTCCGATTGCACGGGTGTCACAGTGAAGCCGAAGGCCGCGCCGTCCGCCCACTCGACAACATACATCTTGCGCTCATCTAGACGCACATCCACGCCCGTCCGCGCTGTCTGCAGCGCGTCTGCAGAGTCGGCCATGGTGCGGTCTGGACGCGGCGATCTCAATAGTGGCGTAACGCGACTTAAGTAGGCGGTGCGCAAAACTGCAAGCAGACTGATCTCCTTGCAAATTTAATTTTGATGTTCAGCACCTTTTACCTAAATTTGTAAGGCAGTCTACTTGCGATATTAAGTTTACTTTTGAAACAGATGGCAAAATTTACTCTATACTCTGGATTTGTTGACGGTACTTCCCCAATGAAAGTCTGTAAGAAAACAACTGAGCAACACACAACGCCAGTGAAAGAAACAGAGCCATACGGACGCAACGCTGCTCGCGACGGGTTCAATTATATAGGGCTAAATGGAGCGTCGTTGGTGGCGGGGAGAGCTCGAGGGCCACCGAAAAGGCGAAAGTCTTTTGTTGCACCCTTCTCTGCTTCGTCGTCCACTCGCATCGGAATGGCGATCATGACCGCGTGCCTGTTGCAATCCCTCCCTGGAGTTCAGCTGCCCGAAGTGTTGCTTTTGGTTCCTTCAGTAATAAAGATTCTTTTTCGAACCAGTGGATTAATCTATAAATAGAAAATGGAGTGCTGTGCTGTTGCCGACGGCAACTAACCACACTTTAATTATCCATTTCTAATGAAGAGGCTTCTTAGTAAGAATCTTACGAATGACAATCCACCGTCATTGTTTGATCGAAATTTGAATGGAGCACAAGCTTCCGTCGCAGACACACAACTGCTGCAGCATTGAAGTGTGCCAAAGACCCGAGGTATTTCGAGCTACATGTACTTAGCTGTAGCTACACACTTTATTCAATGAGCTGTCAAAATGTAAATGGTGGCCAAAATATGAATCAGATCTTAGAGCGGCGGGTATGCTGTTTTACAATATTTTCTAAAAAATCAAAAATTACAATAACTTGCAACCGCTCAAAATCCGATTGAAAATGGCGGCGATAGTGCTTGCGTGGCTCGTGGTGCTGAGCGCGACCGTGCTGACGCTCGAGATACAACGTCGACTCCTACTTGCGCGCATGCTAGGTGCCCTGGTGATGCTTCTCGGCTGGAGCTTCCTGCTTACGTCCGAACTGCAGCTCAAGGCCGTATGCTGCTCTGTCGTGTACCACGGACTAGCGGAGGGTCTGCGTCAGTGGCAGCGAAATTTTCCGTGCGTGTTTGAGCGCCGTAAGGACCGCAAAGTGGTTCTCTGGTTGTTGTTCTGGGCACGTGTCTTCATCTGGGGCGCCACGCTGGGCGGTATTGCCGTATTTACTCTGCTAACCAGATCTCACGAGTCGACCACGACGTCTACATCCTATTGGCGAGAGGCTGGAGCTCTAGCCTTTTACTACGAGGTGGTGGAAGTGCTAGCGATGCTCTATTTTGCAGACGAAGAGTTGCCTTATTTGTGGCACAAACGCGTTGGTCACTGGCTCGGTGCTTCACTCGTGGGGTTCCTGGAGAGCTCAGGACGACTGGACGCCATGTTACGAGGACCTTTGTTAGCGGGCATGTCGCCATTGGCTCTTGTTGGTGTGTTGTTCATGGTCATGTGGCTGTCCATCGAGATCCCGTGGGATCGCATTGCGGAGGCGAGCGGTCCGAGTTTAGCTGACGAGGATCCATTCGACAAAGTGGAGCATCCAGGACAGAACGACGTGGACGAGAGGTTTGAGAGCTCAAGGACAAGTCGCAGGCGAGAACTGTTTGTAGAGACAAACAGAGACAACGGATTCTACTTCCGACCTTGAAGAAATGTGCAAAATACTGGCAGATAGGCGTAGTATACTACAGAACCAGAAGTAGAAGGAAAAGCAGTAGCTGACGAACTTAATATTTATTCTCATTTATGCCAACTTCGTGCTGAGCTGCATCGATTTCTTGTCGGTCGGGCACTTAGTGGCGGTAATCGAATAGAGTCCGGGAAGAAATCTTCTGTAGCCTCCAACTTGGTCGCCGTCGTGGGCGCTGTAGCAATACGTCGCAGTCTCAGAGGCGAGGTTGAGGGGTTCTCTGGACCGTTTCCAGTCTTCAGATCACGCATTCGCGGCAGTCGTTTGGTCGCAGCAGATGCACCACGCGAAGCATTCGTAGGCGTACTGGGCATCAGTGAGTCCTGGTTGGTCGGCAGTGGTGAGCTTGGCTTCGTTATCGGCTCCAGAGCCCTAAGTGGTAAACGATATTAGTAAGTGTGAAGCGATATCGCAGCGAGTTCTTATCGTACCTTAGTGTGCGGCTGCCTCGCAAGATGGCCAGTGATCTTGTGCTAGGGGACCCCAACGCGTCCTCTCGGATGTATTGAGATGCTAGTGATGGAGCTGTTCTCTTGTCTTCGTCGTATGATGCTGAGCGCAGCTTCAAGGTGGAGGGTATGACTCTTGTCGGGCTCTCCATGTGCGACAGTGTTGAGGAATCCTCATGCGGCTCAGGCTCCGGAACCGATTCTTTCCCCCTTAAAATTGCCATCTTTGGTGTCGACGGAAGTGAATGAGAGCCCTGCTGGTTACCTTCCCGTGTGGCGTTACAGACTTGTTCATGTGCTAAACGCTTGAGGCGGTGCTTCGAGCTATTTGCTTTCGCTTTGCCTTCATTGCTAACACGTATGAAGGGATGAGCGAGGAGCTGTGTGAGCGTTGCGCGATGCTCTGGATTCCGCTGGAGACAGAGCATGAGGAACGAGGCGGTCTACGCAACCAGCAATTAGTCAGTACGTCAACTAAGCTTCAACTTGGCAAGATAGAGCAGCAACGAGGGCATACCTCTGCTGGGACGTCTGCTGGGATAGTTGGCGTGATGTCACTGGACACGATTTGATACATTGCAGTGAGTGGGTTGCTGAACTGCTGCCACGGGGAATGGCCAGTGATCATCTCAAGCACCGCACAGCCAAGACTCCATATATCAGCACGGAACCAGCGTTCGTGGTTGCCATCGTCCTCCATGTTTTGCTGGCGGATCACCTCGGGTGCCATCCAGTGAGGGGTACCTTTGAGTCCTCCAACAAGTGACGCGCAGCCGACGAGTTTGAAAGTCCCGAAGTCCCCAAGCTTCACGTCTGCACACGCACCATCGTCCGGTGCACCCTTGGGTGCGGTGAGGAGGATGTTAGCGCACTTGATGTCACGATGTGCGATGCCGTTCTGGTGCAAATAGTGCAGAGCTTCACATAGTTGACGAGTGAAGCGTTTGACTAGCGCCGGTGGCAAGGCACCGGAGCGGGACAGACGCGAACTTAATGAACCTCCAGCTGCGTACTCCATATATATCCGCAGTTCGCTCTGTTTCTTCTCAGTGGCTTGCAGATAGCGCACCAAGTGTCGGTGTCGCAACCGCTTCATTGTCTTGACCTCTCTCTTGACGGCCTCCACAGCGGGAGGTGGCAACTCTCTCGTCCAGATAACCTTCACCGCCACCTCTCGGCCGGTATTGATCTCTACGTAGCGGTAGATGGAGCCTTGCGCACTGCAGACACGCAGCCAGCAACAAGACTTCGTCAGAACTATCCCAGCCATGCATCGTCTTACAATACAGCATACCCTTGTCCGATCTTCTCCTTGCGCACCCATTTCTTGGTTTTGATCTCTGGACTGTTAATGCTTGTGCTCAAAGGACTCTTAGCGTTTGGCGTTGGTGAAACAACTCCAGAAGCGCAGCTATTGCTACTGCTACTGGTGGGAGAGTGATCTGGCGATGGTGGAAACATGAGCGAGTACTCATCTTGAGGAAAGTCAAGCGCTAGGTCTCCGCTACCACTGCAGCTCGACAGCGCGTCTTTCATGTTGACAGATGAGCTCGAGGCAGCAGACCAGCGACGTAACTAACACGCAACACTTGCAACACGGTTGTTGTGAAGCTACAAAAGTTCATTCCTAAAGGCTAAATATATCATTCCACATCTTCCCATGCTGCAACAGCACACCGAGTCTTGTCCGATACTTCGAAGAATGATTTTTGAGTTGCTTGTCAGATGTACCGCACACGACCTTTCGTGGACTCAGATTGAATCAGATCTTTTCTGAGCCAATCACAGCAAAAACAAATACCTCTTTACAAGAGCTGACAAAATGTTTGCCATTGTAAAGGAATCTAATAATTGCTTAAGAGTCTGTGGTCCTCATTGGCAGAGCAGACCAGCGATCATGGCCAAGGTACGGTGCTAAATGCTTCGACTCAGCAGCGTACGCGTGCAGGAAAGTGGCTCCGTTGGTATCTGTACGATACGCTGCGATTACTCGTTTTAATGACGTCACCTTCGCTCGAATGCACCCTGAACCCGCCGCGCCATCGCCCTGCACAAAATGTGATCAACAGCAAGGAACTGACCGAGTGTTTCGATGCAACTTCTCACAGGGAAAAGCCAAAAATGTGGTGATCAAGATGCTGAGTGCGGCAGGCACTGGGTAAGCTCAATTTCAAGCTCTCTCGAGACATCAGATTGCCTGCTGACCCTCTTTTGCTTACAGCTTCTTCTACACCACGACAAAGAACCCGCGCAACGTCACTAGGAAGCTCTCGCTCCGCAAGGTACAGCTCAACCTGAGGACTATTATGAAGTTTTGCTAGCTAATTAATTCCTTTTACCGCAGTACGACCCGATTGTCCGACAGCACGTGATTTTTAACGAGACCAAGATCAAGAAGGGATAAGCGTCGGCATATCTCGCGTACTGGTTTCGAGTATCAACGCTTTAGGCGAACGCGCGCGTCTATTACGGTCGCATTTAGAGATTGGACCTTTGTGTGTGGGTCGCTTAACGGCAATACGCATCCTTCGCTTGTGACACTGACTTGCTATAGCTCACTTCTTTGGGTTTCGTCTACAAAAGTCGTCGCCCTTTGATCATAAATGAATGACTTGCGTCTGACGCAACGACGACGTCAGCGCCATCGACAACAGGAGGTTCTACACGATCAGGGGCGTCTACGATAATCAGATCGAGCGGAGCTGCTGGCTCGGGTTTCTCGTTGAAAAACTCGTGCTCAAGTGCCTCGCGCACCGAGATACGCTTCTTCGGGTTTAGCTGCAGCATTCGAGACAACAGATTTTAACTGCGTAACGATGGCAGAGGTAGACAGAAGCGGGAAAAATGGGACAGAAGATGCGGGGGCGAGGACACTACGTCTGTTCTTGCAGGACAACGCGCTAGTGGACACAGGAGAAAGCAACATGCCAGAGGCAATAACGGACATCGAGGTGGACACGTACGCCCGAACACACCACACATACGCTTATACTACAGCGGACGGATTGAAGAGAACTTCGCGCTTAGACAGATGGTACATCAGTGGACACGAATGGAAACAAGTACGTGGAGTAACCACGGATGAGAGTATATGCGACTCTGATCACAGGGGAGTCTTGCTGGAGATGCACTATCCAAACGGAGCAGTCAGGGTCAAAAAGAGGGAGACAGTATATCCCCCACCGATGTACGTGCAGGCGGCAACAAAAGACATGATAGAGAAGAGATTAACGAACTGGGGGGCCG